GGGCCCCGGCCCCGCGGCCCGCCGCCCGTGATGATGTCACAATCGCGGCGGGCCCCGGCGTTCCCGGGTCGGCTTCGGGCGCCGATCGGAGCGGGCAGCGGGCTCCTGAGTCATGGACTTCCCCTGGCCCCTCCTCTACCACTCCCACCGCCGCGCCGGGCCCCCCCGCAGGGGCTAGCGCTCGCGCGGCGGCTCCGAGGGGGTGGGGCTGCTGGGAATGGCTGTGCCCCCTTCGGCTCCTCTGCCGTGCTCGCCCTTTTACCTGCGGCGGCAGGCGCCGTGCCCGCAGTGCTCATGGGGCATGGAGGAGAAGGCGGCGGCCAGCGCGGGCTGCCGGGAGCCGCCGGGCGCCCCGAGGGCCGCCGCCGTCCCTTGCTTCGGCATATCCGTGGACCAGGACGACATCCTCCCGGGCGCCCTGCGCCTCATCCAGGAGCTGCGGCCGCATTGGAAGCCCGAGCAAGTTCGGACCAAGGTAGCCGAGCGGGCGCGGGGCCAGCCTGGGGCCCTGTCGGGGCTGGAGCGGGGATGCGTGGACGTCTGTCCGTGCATCCTTCCGGGTGGCGGTCCCACGGGTGCGCAGGGCAGGGTTGCAATGGTGGTTTGGGTGTGTATTTTGCTTCGTCTGTTCTGGCCCCGAAGCAGAGCCAGGCTCCCACCTCCCTCGGCCCCCACACGCCCCCCTCCCCGGCCCCCACACCCCCCTCCTCCCGGGGCTCGCGGGCCGCCGGAGGTCCACCTGCCCACCGTCAGCAAGCTGCGCGCGCGGGCCCCACCCCCTGTCGCCGCCCGGAGGAGCGCGCGCGGCCGGCGCTGAAACCTGAGGAGGCAGGAACTTTTAAGGGAGCCCCCCACCTCCACACACACACACATCCCTGCCCCTTCTCCAGCCGGCGGTGGGAGCAAAGTCTCCAGGCTCTGAGCGGTTCCTGCCGGTCCCAGGAGCCACCGTGTGGCATTCCGGCTAGCCCAGGGCCCCCGCGCTGGGTGGAAACCCTCCCCGTCGCCCCAGGCTCAGGCTCAGCACCCCCACACAGGGGGCCTCCCCACCCTCAGCTGGGCACGTTCTCGGGGACACAGGTGTGGGCAGAGCCGCCCACTGAGGAGCCTCAGGCAGACTCCCCAGCTGATCTGCATCCTCTGAAGAGGCTTCACCTGCTCACCCTCCCCCGCCAGCCCCTCTGGGAGCTGCGTGCTGAGGAAGGAGTCCTGAGCCGGGCACCTGCAGCTAGTGCTGGAATGGCCGGGGCTCGGTGCTGCCCGGGCCTTCTGGGTGGGGAAAGGCCCATTCCCCGACTCAGTGCGGAGGCTGACAGACACCTCTTGGGAGAAGGATGGGTGGGTAGCATTTTCAAAATAAAAGACCCACTTCGGTTGTAAGACCCACAAGGGATCCAGCAGGTCTGAAGTTAATTCCAGCACTGATGGAACGTGCTACCTGCCAGTCTCTCCCCTCTCTGGGCCTCAGTTTCCCCACCTAGAATTGGTTCAGATGTCCTCTAAAGCCCCTACCAGCTCTGTCACACTGTGCCCTATAAATTCCATGGTTCATTCCTCCTTGTCACCGTACCCAGAGAGTCTGTTTTCCCCAGCTCATGGCCTACTGTCTCTTCTGGTTTGAACCTCAGAGGCCCTAAGGAGCTCTGACCACCAAAGCCCTCGGCTGGGTGCCAACCTCCGTACCTCCCGCACCTCCGCTGCTGGATGGGGCGTGAGGTGCAGCAAAGAGTCCCCGGCTGGGCAGATGGTGAGAGGCAGCTGGGTCAGAATGTACTTGTCCTGGGCAACTCCTGCTCCTCCCTGGCCACATTCTGGTCCATGGAGGTTTCTTTCAGGGATGGAGACGTAAGAAGGGGGGAGGGGGCTTCTCCCACCAAGGAGTGTGGAAATTCTTCCACTGCCAAGTCCCATCTGCCAGACCCAGGAGAGGTGAGGGTGCCTGAGCCGAGGTTTTGTTCTCGAACTCAGGCTATCCCAAGCACTGAGGAGGGTAGGGCATTAGGAACAGTGCTGAGCTCCTCTTAAGTTAGAGGGCCAAAGAATGGGGGGGTTCTGCGTGGTTGTGCTGGGCATGCAAATGAGCACCCCATGCTGGAGCTGGGGAGCCATGGGGCAAGAGCAGAGACCCCGCCCCACACGCTCTTGTGCTCCCCCTCCGCATGCCAGCGCTTCACCGATGGCATCACCAACAAGCTGGTGGCCTGCTACGTGGAGGAGGACATGCGGGACTGCGTGCTGGTCCGGGTGTACGGGGAGCGTACCGAGCTGCTGGTGGACCGGGAGAATGAGGTCAGGAACTTCCAGCTGCTGCGAGCACATGGCTGTGCCCCCAAACTCTACTGCACCTTCCAGAATGGGCTGTGCTACGAGTACATGAGGGGCATGGCCCTGGGACCCGAGCACATCCGGGAGCCCCGGCTCTTCAGGTGAGAAGGTGGCCCGGGGTACCATTCATTCCTACGATTCCTCAGGCCTTGGCCAGCTTCCTCGGCATAGAGTGGAGTCCATGAATGAGTCATAAGGTCTGTGAACTTCGTTGCATGAAAATGTGTGTGTGTGTGTGTGTGTGTGTGCGCGCGCGCGTGCACGCACGTGCATTGCTCTGCAGAGAGGGGCCATTGCTTTGAATGGATTTTCAGTGTCATCTGCTAGAAGGAGGACCTGCCTCTTAGGGAGGCAAGTGAGAATTTGGTGAACCTGAGACCAAAGGACCTGGTTCCCTAAATGCAGCAGGGCTCCGCTTCCTGGCCTCATGCCTCAGCCCTTTTGCCCACCCCATGTCTGACCTGGAAACCTCTCAGAGCCTTGGAAAGGAAATCTGAGCCAAATCCCCAGAGCGCCCAGGATTTCCTGCCCCTCCCCTCCTGCCAGGAGCTCAAGCATGCTAGGAGAATGGGCCCTATCCAGGGTGAGCTTGGGTTTAGCAGCCCAGAGAGACACCAGCCCTCCCCCAGGCTGAGCTCCTTCCAGGTTCCCTGACAAATTGGGAGCCCAGGTTTGGGCAGCTGCCAGGCCTTCCTTCCAGAGGCCCACAAGAACCCATGACCCCCTGGGAGCCCCTCCCATTGAATGCCTGGGTGTGTAGGACCCAGGAAGTAGACTTAACCTTCAAGCACCGTGGATGGCTCTGTGGGGTCTGAAAGGGGGCGAACTAAAGAGGAGCCCAGAGTGCCTTTCTCTCTTCTAACCGTTCTGGGCAGGGATGTCAGGCAGAATCCCCCACCCCCACCCCCGTGCCGCATCTGCGTGTGGAGCCCTCCGACTATAGCGAGGTCCCAGGCAGGCTGAGGTTGACTCCTGACCCTGGACAGCAGCACAGGGGTTGGCCTGGGATCCTTGGGATCAGTCCCGTCCCACCCAAGGAGAAGGAGCCTTCCAAATACCCGAGGAGAAACAATAAAAGCCCATCTAGGGAGTAGACCAAGAAGTTTCTTTGCTTCCTCACCTGTTACCCAGTTAACCCCAAGTAAGTGCACCTGGCCCTATTTGCGGAGAACCCCTAACAGGCCCTCCAGGGACTTAGAAGGGACTCTGAGATGCCTTCCCCCCTAGTACTCCAGAGCACTGCTTCTGGGGCTGGTCAGGCCCTAGGATATTTATGTTGAGCTGTATGTTGTGTGTGTGTGTGTGTGTGTCTGGAGTTAGGGGGACATACAAACCTGTTCAGTGGTCTTCTCAGGCTCCCGCTGAGTGCCCAGCCTGGAGGTAGGAGGTCAGAGGAGGGTGGGGGCCCGGGGAACCGTGGCCTGGCTTCTCCCACGCTATGCTCCTAGCTCTCCTTCAAGTCTTTGTAAATAAGCTCAAATATTGGCAGGTCCTCCCCAGGTCACTCCCAGTCTCCGGCCACCTCTGTGAATATGCTGCTGTTCCTTGTTCTCTCGTGGAAACAGTTAGCACTGTCAGGAAGATTGAAGATGGATGTAGGTTCGATAACAACTTTACATTTGGGGGAGAGCCAGAAACTGGGATAGGTGTAGGAGGTAGGCTCTTCCCTGATGATTTTCCAAGGATAGACCATTATCTTTCTCGGGTGAAGGTGGATCTCTGAGGGAAAGGCAAGGAGGAGGCCTTGGGGAGCCACGTCCTCATGTTCCCCTGAACCCCACCTCCCAACCTCTGCCTGCTGAGGCTTCGCAGCATAAAAATGCTGAGTGTTGAGGTTACTTTCATTGCTTTTCCAGACAACAGCCCTATTGATATTCAAGGAAACGCTCTGTTCATGCCCTAGTCAGAATCTTCCTTTGGGAAGGGAAGGCCTGGGTCTCAGGTCTATTTCCCTGCCTCGCCTAAAACCCTGGCGGGTTCCCTCCTGCCCCGGGGCCTCTAGCCTCTGAAAGCACAGCCTTCATCGCTCACCCTCTCGGTGGCTGCCACACCCCCTGCCCCCTCCACCCTTCAGGAGGTGGGAGCCTGGGGGGCTTCCGGAGGAGACCCTGGACTGCCCTGCTATCCTGTTGGGTGATGGCCTGCCCCTTCCCAGGACCTGGCAAGGGGAGGGGTGTCCCTGGAACAGCTCAGTAACAAGGTTCCAAACAGCCAGTGCCTTTGTTGTCTTTCCCAGTGATTATTATTCGAGCAACAGGCAGAGGCGAAGGAAGCGTGAATGTTGGAGGCTTGGCAGCCGGGCTGGGGGTGGGGCCCCAGCAGGGACAGCTGCCAGAGGACTGGGGGAGCCCAGCTGGGACGCAGGGCCTCAGACGCTGGGGTCCTTATCAAGGCCCTCCCTCTCTGACCGGTCAGTCCTCCATCCGCCCCCGCCCTCTCCCAGCCCCCTTCCCCACCGCCCCCTCCTTCTCTCCCGGGACCTTGGATAATGTCCACAGGAGGACTTGAAAATAGAACGCTGGTTTGTTTTGCGTCCTTGGCGCCCAGCCGCCAGCATCAACTCCCTGCCGCAGAGGAAGGGGCTGCCCTGGGCCGGCCTGCTTCCCTCCCCACCTTGGCCAGGCTGATAAGAGGCGGGCATTTCTTTCCAGCCTGGCATCACCACCCCCCTGATCCCTCGGTGCCCTGCGTTCACCTCCCCCTGACGGCATGGATCAGAGTCCAAGGAGGGAGGAGGGCCACTGCCCCCATCCCCAGGTGACCCCTCTGTCCTCAGGGGTTGCTGTGGGTACACGACCTTGGGGTGGGGCAGGGTCACTGACCTGTGGCCGGCGGCCCACTGCTTTGCCTTCCTGCTCCCTGAAGCAGCCCCAGCTCTGGTTCTGGAAAGGTCACTGCTGGGCTAAAGGCCTTACGTCATTTTCATGCCTTCTGCTAAGACCTTCCTGCTGCAGGAGCGAGAATCCCTAAAAGAGCTGTCCCACACTCAGCCCTCTAACTGGCCCGCAGTCCTCACCCTGTAGGACCCCTTTCTGGTCAGGAGGGGCTGAGCTGGGACGGGCCTGCCCCACACTGATGTTCTACTCTTCTGTTTTCTGTTTAGGCTCATCGCCTTAGAAATGGCAAAGATTCACACCATCCACGCCAACGGCAGCCTGCCCAAGCCCACCCTGTGGCACAAGATGCACAATTACTTCACCCTTGTGAAGAACGAGATCAACCCCAGGTACAAAGATCTGGGAGGGTTCAAAGCTGCCATGGTCTCTGCTGCCTTCATGTCATCCCGCCTCCATTCTTTGGGCTCTGTCCCCCACCCCACCCAGAGGCTAAGGGGCTCCAGTCCTGACTGCTGAGTCTCTGTCTCCAAGCAGAGTTGGGCCGATCGACTGAATCTCAGGAACTTAGATCCACAGCTTTAAGCTTATGTGCTTATTTCACTTTGAGTCTTCTGGTTGTGGTAGAGACGAGGGTTGGGGACTGCGTCTCCCCCTTTACTTAAAGGAGACTGAGGCTCAGAGACTAAGCTTTTTACCCAGTGTTGGGGGCTCATCAGAGGCAGGGTCCTGTTTCCTAGCCCAGGGCCCTTTCTACCTAAGCTGCTTTCTGAGCAACCAGAAGGGAGAGCCTGGCCTCTGAGAATGGGGTGAGGCCGACCGAGTTCAGTCAGTCAGAACTCAGCTTGTCAGTTGACAAGCCCTTGGGACATCAAGACTCCTGCTACTTGCCTAGACGCCTCTCGTCCGCACATGCCCCTGAGGACCCTGCTCCTCACCTTGTTCACACTGACAGCTTACAGTTTCCTCACTGGCACTCCACCCATCCTGACAGTGCCTTTCCCCAGGGAAGCCGGGGCTCCCAGACAGCTAGGCTCTCTGGCCAGCAACCTGAGAGTCCTTCTGGCCTTCAGCTGCCTGGCTCCCCAGCATAGCATTGAGGCATAGAGAGTTGGAGAGAAGAGTGGGTCACCCCTGCCCCCTCCAGGGGAAGGCAGTAGTGAGTCTCTGATCCCTCCATGTTCCCTGCTGGGTTGAACATCTCCCTTGTTCCAAAGGTTCATGGGAGTAGGGTATCTCCTTCCCTCCTCTAAGATGAGGAGACAATAATTAACTCTATCTCAATTGTGTGTGTGTGTCTGTCTGTCTCTCTCTCTCTCACACACACACACACGCACGCACACACGCGTGACTTTATCTGGATCCTCCCACTTAATGATTATCAAGCACTGCTTTAGGACTATTTGTCCAGGATGGCCCACATTCAGACCTTCGATGCCAAATGTTATCTCTGGGACAAGGACTGCCTATCGCTTAGGGCTAAAACAACACATGGAGAGCAGGACCCTGGGGTGTCTGAGTCAACAGGACCCTCTGGTCATGCAGCCCACCACTTTCATTTGGTAGATGGAAAAACTGAGGCCTGGAGAGGGGGTGGGACTTGCCCAAGGTCGGTGGCAGCTCGAGGGCTAGAGTCCAGACCTGCTGCTCAGGCATGACCCTTGCTACTTTAGCTTCCTTTGTACTGTCACTGTGTAACCTTCAGGGGTGACCTGGTTGGGAGCGGAGTGGTCCCTGGAGAAGAGCTGACCGACTACCTTTGCTCTTGTCATACATTTGACCTTGGCAAATCAAGTTGTTTAACTTTTCGGAGCCTCTTTAGGGGACGGTGCCTGCCCTAAACTGCCTAACCTGCCCCAAGCGGGGCTGTGATGAGCAGTCACCTGGATGAGATGAAACTCTTGAGCTCTGGTCGCAGTCTAATAACCCTGATTTAGTCAATCCTGCATTTCACAAACATCAACTGCGATTTGAAACAATGAAAAATACGGATGTGACATTGGCCCTGCCCTCAAGGAGCTTAGGAACGATCTGGGTAAATAGGACCTGCCCATGCGAAGCGACAAAAGAAGGCAGGGCGTGTAATGCATGTGGCGGTGGGAGAACCAGGGCCAGTCTTCCTGGCAGAGGTAGAGGGGCAGAGCTGGGAAGGGAGGCCACTCAGGCTGGCGGAGACGGTGTGAACACACTTGGCTCATGGTGGCCAGTGGATGAGGGTGGCCGGAGTGGGCCTTCAGGAGCAATTGGGAAGGGCTGTGGGAAGTGGGTTGGAGCTAGACCGGAAGGACCCTTCCAAGTCAGGTTAAGGAGCCAACATTTCATTTAGCAGTCATTGTGGAGGCCTCTGAGCCAGGGACCATGACTGTGGTTTAGGGAGAAAGCTCTCTGGCATTGTAAAGGACAGAATCAGGTGGGATTTGGGGAAGTGGGGGTAGGGATTGGAGGTAGGGCGACCAGCTCAGGGAGTGTTGTAACTGAATGGGCAGGATCCACGGGCAGCTTCATGGTGGTGGTGGTGGATGGAGTGGGGGGCACGGAGAGTGGGGGATGCATCAGGCACCCTGTGGAAATAGATTTTGGTGGCCTTGGTGTTTGGTTGGGCATAGAGGGTGGGGGGTGATCGCTGCTTTGGGGGCATCAGGAGGAGATGGGGATGGGTTGAGTGGTTTAAGGGCAGAGGTGATGAGCCAGGAAGCTCCAACACTCAGTCCACTGTGGGAGAAGGTACTTCCCTCCACCCAGATCCGGCGAGCTGAGTGGGTATTTGGCAGGCAGGCAGAAGTGTTTTCATCAGGAGGAACCCCCAGGTTTCCCCGGGGGGGGTGTGTGTGTGACAGCTTCTGTGACGCGGTGGTGGCCACTCTTCTGCCAACTGCACAGCCCTGAGAAAGTCTAGTGGGCTCAGGGCTGAAGGTAGCGAAGCTGGCGGGGTTTCAAGTGCTCAGGGGAGGGAGGCTGCCCAGGGAGATAGAAGGCCTGGACCGCTCCCACAGTAACCATCTGTGTGGCCTTGGGGTGGGTAAGGTGGGGGTCAGGGCCTGGGCAGCAGGTATCTTAGATGTCAAAGGCATGTTTTTCAGGCTGAGACCAGAGCAAACCAAAGGAGCCCTCCTAATTCTTATCTTTAGATGGTCTTGGACCAAGAAAAGAAAAAATCTTGAAAGGTATCTTCTTAAGGAGAGCCGAGACTGAAGTGCGTTTATGCAGACCGGTTGACAGAGATAAACTCCAGTGAGGCTAAAGGAAGCCCCCCTCCCCCCAGATCCACCCCCCTTGTTAGACTCTCCCCAGTTCAGAGTGGGCTGTGCAGAGCCTCTGAGGGGCACCGAGGCCCTCACAGTTAGGAGGTTCTGCTTGATTTTGCATTGAGGACTGCTTCCCTTGGGTGAGGGGGAAGAGGGTCTAGCTGTGCAAGAAACATCTGGAAGCTGGAAGGCCTCTGCCCTCTTCCTTGAGCCTCCATTTCCCCAGAGATTTGCACTAGAGGCCTAAGATCCTCTCTAGCTTTGACCTTCTCAAAGCTTGGGAGGGAGCCTGCCGCTCATCCTTTCCCAGGGGGAGAGGGGGATGCCTTAGTTGCCGAACGCTCTTTGCCATGTTTTGGCCTCTGGGCCGTGTGAGGGGCTGACGGGGCATCCTTTGGGAGGGTCGGGAGGACGGATCTCACGCTCATCCTCCTGCATGTACTCTGGCTGCCCCGGATAAGAAAGCAAACAGGAGCTACATGGAGACAGAACAAGAGATAAAACCCCAGCCTCCTCCCCTCCACCCATTGGTGGTTCTGGGGTTTTAAGGGCTGTGCTAACTATTTGGCTTTTCAGTGTACACAGTCCTGTGTGCTTCCTGGGGACCAAAGTTCAGAGCATCCCAGCACAGCGTGCCCTCACCAACTTCCACATGGCCTCTGCTACCAGCACCGATTGACCCGTCCATTCATTCATTCCTCAACGTGGGTTTCTTTCAGCAGCAAGGCCTTAGGTGCTGCGGGATGGGGCAGGGCAGAAAGAGGGCTGGCCTTTGTCATCTGTGTTCCTGCCTGCAAGTTGCCCACACATGCGCGGTCTGGGACAAGGACACACATGCTCCTAGTTCAGGGTGGAGGAGACAAGTCACCAGGGAGCTTCAGAGCAAATGCTTGATTGAAAGGCCCTAATAGTTCCTTGGTCTTGTAGGAGTGAGCCCAAGAAGCAGTTTGTTTGCTTTCTTAAGTGGGCCTGAGTGGTCTCTCTGTGAGATGAGAAGTTAGGCTTTATGAGCTCTCTGGTCCTTTCCACCTGTGACACCAGCTGCTAGAAGGGGAGGGGGACCGGCCAGGAGTGTCCGTGCCCTCTGCAGGGCACTGTGATGCCTCCCCCAGACAGTCTTGGAGCATACCTCCTTGCAGGCATCTTCCCCAGCGCCCTGAAAGCGGGTCTGTTCACAGCCCTCCCCTCTGCCCTTGTTCTCGTGTGGATGCACATTCCCCCCTCCTGTCCTCTCTCTGTGCCTCCTTCCTTACCTTACCTTCCTCCCCCTTTCGTGAAGTAGCAGGGATGCCATTGGATCGGGGACATACAAGCTTTGCAAAATGCTTTTACGCCCGTGTTTTAATAAGCTGCTTAGAGTGACTGCAGGAAGTCAGGAGATCAGGACGCCTTAGCGCCAGAGGACAAAAGTGAGGGTCTGAAGGGCGGGCCCTTTGTCCAGGGGTCCTCTGCAGGAACAGGAGGTGACAGGGCCAGAGCTCAGGGCTCCAGAGGCCCAGTGGCGGCCTGTCTTACTGTCAGCCTCCATTCTGGCCGCTGCCCAGCCTTTCTGCAGATGTCCCCCAGGTGGAGGTGTTGGAACAGGAGCTGGCCTGGCTGAAGGAGCACCTGTCCCAGTTGGACTCCCCTGTGGTCTTCTGTCACAATGACCTGCTCTGCAAGAACATTATCTACGACAGCACCAAAGGTACGGCTTCCCGGGCTCTGGCTGGGCCGCAGCTGGGCCAGGCCTGAGTGATCAGCTGCCTTCCGGGTGCCGGTCCTCACACTGGCCCTTGAACAAGCAAAAGGCGACCTTCCAGTTTAGATCTCAAGTTAATTTAAGAGAGAAAGGGAGGGGCACCTGGGTGGCTCAGTCGTTAAGCGTCTGCCTTCAGCTCAGGTCATGGTCCCAGGGTCCTGGGATCGAGCCCCACATCGGGCTCTCTGCTCCACGGGAAGCCTGCTTCTCCCTCTCCCACTCCCCCCGCTTGTGTTCCCTCTCTCGCTGTGTCTCTCTCTGTCAAATAAATAAAATCTTTAAAAAAAAAAGAGAGAGAAAGGGAAAAGGAAATAAAATTCCACTTAGAAAAACCTATGCCCAGAAAGAACTCAAAACTGGTTTGTGGAGGTCCTTGATGTGAGGCTACCTGACCCATTCCCCGCCGACAACATTTTGGGCTTCTGAGGGCATCTGGGGTGGCCCAGGCCCTCCTAGAGACAGAACCTTCCTGTGTGCCTAATTAGAGCTCCAGCCCCAGGGAGCCCTGGCCTTTATTTCTGGTCCTCGGCCATGCTGAGGACAGACGTCTGTAGATGAGCGGAGCTTGAGCATCCACCTGTGTGAGGGACAGCCGGAGGGCAGATGGACAAAAGAACAGTGTCGAAGGCGGCCACTGGGGAGGGTGGGGGCTGGGTTGCCACCAGAGGCCAGCCAGAGTCCGTGCGTGCATTCCGGAGGTCTGTGGGGACTTGACCAGGCCATTCCCCTATCTCTGGGGACCGACCCTCATCCCTCTCTCCTGCCTCGCAGGTCACGTAAGGTTCATTGACTATGAGTACGCCGGCTACAACTACCAGGCCTTTGACATTGGCAACCATTTCAATGAGTTTGCAGGTGAGAAGGGTATTGCTATTTGGTCTTTGTTCAAGATACTTTCCTCGTGATGGATGGCCAGGTCCAGGGTGAGGATGAGAGGGGGTTCTGGCCTCGCTGGGTAGAGACCTGACAGGCCCTGGCCTCCACAATCTCACGACTCATGGAGGAAGGCACAGCTTGCCTTGAGGGAGCACCAAGTCTCATGGGGGAGGCCGGACCCACACACACACACACAGCTGACCCCTGCTAGCCCATCTGGCAGTTTGGTACAAATCAGGAGAATGTGCCCTCCATAGGACCCCTAAGGACACTAGGCTTGGCATGTGAGTTAGAAAAAGACCCCGGAGTGCCTGGCTGGCTCAAGAGCGTGCGGCTCTTGATCTTGGGGCTGTGAGTTCAAGCCCCACATCGGGTGATTACCTTAGAAAATTAAAAAATCTTAAGAAAAAGCCCCTTCCCCTGGGCAGACGTAGCTTCTGCCTGCCCCTTCACCCAGCCTGCCTTCTCCCAGCATCACCTGCACGATCGTGAGTAAGGGTCCTGCATGCAGAGAAGGAGCAGAACGAGCTGGTGGCCTGATGAGAATCATCTAGGAGGAACTCGTGAAAAGCATATACTCTGCAACTGGACTGTCCCAAGTTCAAATCCTGGCTTTGTAGCTTACTAGCTGTGTGACCCTTGGGCTGGTCACTTAGCTTCTCTAGGCCTCTGGAAAGTGGAGATATTAATAGTACCTACTTCTTCCCATCAACGTGAGACACACACACACACACACACACATGTAGCACATGCTAAGCCTCATGCTGGTGTTTGCTGGTACTAGGCAGGGAAGCCTGCCGGTAGCTAAGGGAGACCGGCGCGGGAGCGGATGGGGTTGGATGAGGGCTGTTTTGTTGCGCTAGCCAGCTCAGCAAAGGCCCAGGATCTACAATAGAATCATTTGTGTGAGGAAGCTGGGCAGGTTTTTCCAGCTTGAGGGCTTCATTGTTAAACAATTTGATGGGACCAGAGAGGCAACCCATGGATGGAGCTGGACCCCGGGGCTGGAGGGACATCATCCGACTGGCAGTGTGGGGTGCTCAGCGTGACGGGGCCAGCCCCTGGGATGCAGGACAGGTGAGACACACCCAGGCCAGCTCCAAAACTGCCACCTGGCCCAGCCTCAGCCACTCCCCAGCCCAAGCCTGGCCAGTTGTGCCCCTTCAAGAACCCCAGGTGATCAAGTCTGGCAAGCGCTCATTGCACCTGAAGGTATGACTTCCCAGGGTGGCCAGCAGCTGCATCTAGGAACCCATAGGACGGTGGGGCCTCAGCTGGGCAGAGCCGTGATGCTGTGGGGTGTGGCACTGAGCAGAGGCCGTGGGCCTCTGAGCGCGCAGCTGCCAGACCCGCTGGCCTTTCCAGAGGGGATCATTCTGAAGCATTTTAAGCCCTCCTCACCCACCACATAGAGCAAGGTCCAACTGGAATTTCTCCAAAGAGGCAGATTGCATCCTGCTCCCAGGTTGCGAAGGAAGGAGGAAGGCAGGGAAGGAGATTGGGAACTGGGGAGGGAGAACGCCTGGGTTCTCGGGAGCAGGGAGACCCCGTTCTGGGAGGCAGGGGTAAGAGTTCTAACCGTGACCTCACCTCTACCTGGCTGACCGGGAGCGAGCTTCTGCTCTCTGGGCCTGAGTTTCTACACCTGCACCAGGGGATTCTTTCCCAGCCATCCTCTTGGGGCCCCAGGAGACTGTGTTTCTCCAGGAGTATGAGGGAAGCTTGGAAAGGAGAGGGAGGAAGAGACCACGGGCGAGGTGGCCAGGTCCTGGTCCTGTCTTAAGTGAACTACGACTCTCCGTCCCAGCTCAAAGGCAAGCCGCTGTCACAGGGCCCGGGATGTGGCTGGTGCGCGTTGGGCTGGCAGCTCAAGGACTCAAGGAAGGGCAGGACCGGAAGGAATTGAAGCCACCCGGTCCAGGGGTTCCAAGCCTGGCTGCATTTCCGAATCATCTGGAGAATTGGACAGGGGGCTAGAGGTGCCTGGGAACCTGTGTTTTTAGCAAGCTCTGCAGGCGAGGTTTTGAAGGAGCCAGCTCAACACTGGTCCAGGAGGCAGAGTCGGAGACCCCACGCTTCTAAATGAGAGACTCCAGGCAGTGGGAGGGAAGGCCTTGTGCAGGGCTCACTGGTCAGCATCCCACCAAAGGGGAGGCCCCTGACGTGGTGCTGTGACAGAGCACCTCCTGTGGGCCGTAGTTCCTATAAAGGGCACGGGGGTACAGTGATGCTGTCTTAGGGGTCCCTGTCACACCCAAGACCATGCCTCGCCCTACAACCAGTCTGCCTCTGTGCTTTCCTCCAGCCCACGGAAAGCAGCGCCCCCAGCTCCACACATAGGGTAAGTTTGGTGGGCAGGAGGCTGTATTCCTAGGCACAGCCCGGCAGGATGTACGTGGAGGTTTTGAGGGGAGCGGGGAACCCCCGATGAGCTGGAGGAGCCCCCTCCCCAGGTGGGCCCACCTCCCAGCAACTGCCCCGTGGCTGCTTCCCATCAGGTGTGAACGAGGTGGATTACTGCCGGTACCCGGGCCGGGACACCCAGCTTCGGTGGTTGCGCTATTACCTGCAGGCACAGAAGGGCATGGCCGTGACCCCCAGGGAGGTGGAGAGGCTCTATGTGCAAGTCAACAAGTTTGCCCTGGTAAGTGTGAGCCGGGAGGGGCCGGGAGGGGCCGGGAGGAGGGGCCCACCCCAGCTCCTCCGCTCCCACAGCCCAGGGTGGAGGAAGCAGAGGCCGGGGTGAGGGGTGAGGTCCTGGGACCCCAGGACCCGAGGTGAGGTCTGGGAAGAGCCCTCTTGGGCATCCCCAGAATACTGAGATGCCCTGTTGCCTGCTTTTCCCTACTCTGTCAAGTCTCTTTCTCCTTTCTAGGAAAAGACTTCCAAGAAAGAGCCCAGCTTCCTGTTTTAGCAGTTCTCTCATTTGGACAAGCAGTTCTCTCTAGCGTCTAACTTTAGCCTTTCATGCTGCAGTTAAACGCTTTTTTTTTTTTTTTTTTTAAGCCTTTGGAGGAGATAAAGACTGTCAGTTCTAATCTTCCTTGTTAGCTACCTTCACTGACTCAACTCCATGTAAGCCTCTCCCATCAGGCTCTTCCTGCTCAAGTTACTGAGCTGTCAGTTCTTGATTTTGAGTGCCATTTATCCAGGGTACCCGGTTCATGCCCGGTCTCCTCCGGTGTGTGTCCAGGGGCTTGCTAACTAGTCTTACTAATGTCAGGCACGTAGAAGCAAGAAGACCAGTCCACTGCCCTGGATTTCACAATACATCATGGAGCTTAAGTAGAATCTTTACTTACGTGTCATTTTGGATTACCTCTCCTGGTTTCCTCATTGGCACAAAACCTATTCTCCATCAGGTTCTTCCCCTTAGCTGTTCCACTTATGCCTTCCTCTTGCTAAAGGTTTCCATGTAATCATTGACATGTGGCTAATTGATCTATGCCCCTTGAAATCCTGAAAAGTGGGGGGAGGTGCTATGCAGCCAACCCCAGGGCGAGCAGGATGTGGGGTGGGGGGGCCCTGGCCTGGGATAGTCATGATGTCACTGCTGTTTGCCCATGGACAGCTGAGAGCAGGCTCTGGTTTCTTGAGCCTGGGGTGGGGTGGTCTGGCCCCGAGGGCGCCTCTGGCCAGAGGGAGAGCAGTTGAAGGCTTAGTCAAAGCCCAGACTCGGGGCTTCTTGCTCCCACATCTACACTCCTTTCTCAACCCAACCCATCTCTGGACAGAAGAGGGAAAAGGGGTGGAGGAGGTCAGTTAAGGGGCTCCTCCTGATGACCGTGGGACTGGGCCTGTGCTCTGGGGCAGGGGTTCATCTCATCCTGGTACCTTGGCCTTGAAGGCCCCAGGAGATTCCCCTGGGCAGGGGAGAAGCCAGGGATGGAGCTATGCTCAGGCTGGGGAACAAGCTGAAAGTTCTAGAACCATTACGCTGACCCCTACCTGGAGCAGGTAGAACTCTGCCTTTTTCTCAAGGGAGTGAAGCCCCCAAATGCAGTCCAGTGACTTGACCTCCAGAATTCCCCTGACTTGTGCCAGGGAGACCCCATTGTGTCTCGGCCAGTGTCCTAGTTCTGTGTCTTCCAGGGTGACCGTTTCCTCTAGCTCCATGGGGTTCGTGACAGGCATGAGTGGTTGCCTTGCTGACTCATTGTGGTCCCTTTCCAGGCATCTCACTTCTTCTGGGCACTCTGGGCCCTCATCCAGAGCCAGTTCTCCACCATCGACTTTGATTTCCTCAGGTGAGTGCAGGGGGCGAGTTGAGGTGGTGGGGAGGGGGGAAAGGAGTAGCTTGAGCCAAGGGTGTGGGGGCAAAGGACGGCCCAGGGAGAACATCCAAAGTCCCTTCCTCTGCTAACTTGTCCCCATTCCAGCCACCCCGTATCCAGGGGAGTCACCACTTTAGGGGAAACATCTGAGCCCAGAGCACCACTCTGAAAGTAGTCAAAAGTTCTTGAACCCTCCCCTTGTGCCTCGTAGGAGATTTGCTTTCCCTCCTCCATCTTACGACCTAGGCCACTGCTCTTAGCCACAGAACCTGGTGGTGAAAAACCTGTTCATTTTATAGCAGAGAGGACAGAGTTCTTCCAGAGAGCAAAAGTGACTCCCTGAGGTCACTCAGGTGGTTGAGCGCTTACCATGTGCAATATTGGGCCCGGCTCCTCCTTCAGTGAGGTACTAGGGTCTGCACCGAGACCGTACCGGATTACTGACTCCTGGCTCCATCATCAAGTACACATGTCCTTAAGGACCAGGAATCGTTTTGTCTAGTGTTTCTCCATACTGGTCTAGTCGTCTTGCCCTGTCCCCCTCCCTCAGCTGGAAAGGAGTCACTACCCTGACTTCACAGTGTTCACAGCGACTGGAGAGATCCAAGTCAAAGGCACAGTGAGATCTCACTCACACCTAGGATGGCTATTAGCAGATAAACAGAAAACAAGGATTGGGAAGGATGTAGAAAATCAGAACCCTTGGACGCCACTGGTGGGAACGTAAAATGGCGCAGCTGCTGGGGAAAACAATACCGTGCTTCCTCAAATAGTTAAAAATAGAATTCCTGGGCGATCCAGTATTCTTGCCGCTGGGTGTGTAGCCAGAGTTGAAAGCAGGGGGTCAGAGAGCTATTTGCACACCCACGTTGATAGCATTATTCACAACAGCCAAGAGGCGGAGCAACCCCATGTCCATGGATGGCTGAATGGGGAAACAAAGTGTGGTCTACACATGGTGGAATATTACTCAGCCTTTTAAAGAGAGGAAGCCATGTCACATGCTACAACATACGAACTCTGAGGACAGGCTAAGTGAAAGAAGCCAGTCACAGAAAGACCAATACTGTAGGATTCCACTTATATAACTAAATTAATCAAGTTCATAGAAACAGAGAGTAGGGGGGCACCTGACTGGCTCAGTCAGTAGAGCATACGACTCTTGACCTTGGGCTCATGAATTTGAGCCCCACATGTGGTGTGTTTACTTAAACTTTTTTTTTTTAAAAAGACAACAGTAGAGTGGTTTTTGCCAAGCCTGCACCGCGGGGAGGGAGATACGGAAAATTGCTGTTTAATGGGTACAGAGTTTCAGTTTTGCTAACTGAAAAAGTCTTGGAGAGCTTTAAAGGGATTTAAAGAACAAAACAACAACAAAAAAAGCATTTGGGGAAGGGCTGCTCCAGTCCAATCTAAGAAGAAAAATAAAGTTAAAAAAACAAACCTCCGCCTGCCCTGGGGTTGAGCTGGTGAGACTTGCTCACGGTGAGAGTCCCCCGGGTCGGGCCCACCTGGCTTTCCTTCTCAGCCGGGCTCCTGTTCTCGTCCTCCGGCAGGTACGCAGTGATCCGATTCCACCAGTACTTCAAGGTGAAGCCTCAAGTGTCAGCCTTGGAGATGCCAAAGTGACCAGCTTCCCCATCTCTCCCTTACCCATCTGCCCGGCCAGACCTGTTCTCCAGGGCTCTGTCCTGCTCTGGGGGCCACACACTTGGACAAGGTGGGAGAGGGGACAGGTGGGTGTCCAGGAAGAAGGCTCCACCCCTGCCGCCCGCCCCCAGTGGATGCTGCTGGAGACCACATGCTTTTGTTTGGAGGGGCTGATAGGACCCAGCTCTGGGGGGTCCCCTTCACCTTGCCAGACTTGGGGGGAGGGGGCTGGGGGGCTTGGGGAAGTGCCTGTAGTCAGCCAGGGCCTGGACCACAACCACCCCTGGGAAGCCCAGTATTCCTGGCCTGAGGCCAGGCTGGAATCAGGGCTGCCTTAGATGTGTCTTTGACCTTCCTGGCTTGGGGAAAGGGGGAGATGGGAGGGCTCCTTTCTACCTCCAGTGCCCTGAGCCTCCAGCCCATCTCCCCCTGCATGCCTCACGTGGGAGGTGCTGATGAACCCAAACCAGCATCATGCCAACTCTGACAGATGGATGTACATATCTTGGGGGGGATGGTCTAGAACTGGGTTTAATGGCTCCCCCCAAAGCTGCCTCATCTGAGATCCCTCCCTTTCTCCAAGCCAGATCCAATCAAACCACCCCTTCCCAGACCTCTGCCCCAGGCCCTGTGCTCCTTCGCCTCCCGTGCCCTTTTTGCTCTGTGCTTGTGTTCTGTCTCTCTGCCACCTGCTGGGAGGGAAGGCAAGGGGGTGGTGCCCTCCTGGGCCTCCAGAGCCCAGCTCTGCTTCGTGCTTGGCCCGAGGGGGACGGAACCCAGAGGGGGGTGGCCAACAGCAGCCGGCAGCTTCCTGCCTTGTTCCCTGCCCTGCCCTGCCCTCCAGGGCCTCAGTTCTAAGGATTTGTCTCCCCCTCTCCACCTTCTGTCCTGAAGTTGACCCAAGCACTTCCCACTAGGAAATGAGTAGTGGGAGTCAAGGGGCCGGGGCTAGGGACTTCGGGGCTCACCGGGCATCCAAGAGCCTGGGTAGGATGGGTCGTGAAGGTGCTGAGCTCATGGCCCCGGACTCTCAATGGCCTCCACCTTCTCTCTGCCCTCACAGCCTCCTGGCTCTGGCCCAAAAAAAGTGATTCATTTGTAAATTATCATGGTTTTCTGCATTAAAATGGCCATTTCTGGACCACTCTGTGTCTGAGTGCCTACAGTGAGGATTTGACTTTGACATAGAGGGGATGATGGATTAGTTCTCCCGCAGTGGGGTGGGGGGTTGCTGCAGCCCGTGCCTCCAGGGGTCCCTGAGGCTGCACGCTTCCTACCCCACCCTCCGTGCACCTGGCTCGCAAGGCCTGGGCTCCTGGTTTGGGATAGGTCTGGACCGGTCTAGTGCCTTCACCACTCTTCTGCCTTTGACCGTCTTGCTAGAATAAGGGGAGCCCAGGAGGACACTGCTACTGGGGAAGGGAGCTAGGCTGGGGCCTCACCAGGCGGGAAACCGGTGAGACCCTGCGGAGACGCACTCAGGACCTTCTTCCTGGGCCGGTTTTGGCTCCTAGCCGCTGAGGGGGCGGGGGTGCTGCTCTGCTGGAGAGCAGGCAACGATGATTTCTGGAATGAATCGGTTACTCTCTCAGATGGCCAGAGGGAAGGGAGAGCAGAAGCTCAAAGGAGAGCCCGGGTACCCCTCTCGGCAGCCCGGGCTGCTGAGGCAGCGCTGCCTCCAGGGCCCCCCGGAAGGTGCCCAAGGCCCCCCAGAAGGTGCCCGGTGCCCTGAAGAGTGGGGAGAGCAGTGGCTGCCTGCCAGGTAGACTCTGGCTGTTTGGCTTTTGCAGGCGAAAGTACCGGCTGCCATGGAAACCGCTGGAGGAGAGCTAGCCCCAGCAGCTGGGGCCTTCAAGGTCATGGTGATCCAGTGTGGCCAGGGGCCCTCGGGGGTAGCCGTACCAAGCCCAGGAAGGGTGTGGGGGAAAAGGTGGGCCCCGGCCTAGGGACAGTGCTGGGGCTGGGCAGGCAGGGCCCCTCAGGGGTACCATGGGGTCAGGTGCTCGTGGGCAGGGCCTTCTTGTGGACTAAAGGGCAGTGCCCACCCTGCTTGTTCCTCTCAGATCCACCTCTGGAGCTGGGGGGAGAAATAACCACTGGGAAGGCAGCTTCGTTTCCAGCCTCCTGGGGCCTTGATGTCACAGCGTTGGAGACGGTGTTGCAGTGGTGAGCAGGGAATGGCTGGGACAGGGCCCCCCAGGTACCATCCTGTGCCCCTACGGCCCCGGCCACCACCTGCACCAAAGGAGCGAACCTGCAGGCACCATCCCACTGCCTTTGAGAAAACATCCTCATTCCTCTAGTGCTCCCGGAGAGCACTAGACCTGGTGCTTGGAACCAGGTGGGGGCAGGGGTGTGTGGGGGGGGTAGTTTAGGAGGCCCCTCCCCCTCAAAGCCTGGAGTCCTGTCTCTCCTTTCACTGCCACCCGAGACTAACCAGCACCCCTGCCCCCCCTGGTTCCAAGCACCAGGCCTTGGCAACTCCCGGGGGCGCTGGGCTCTACTCTCAGACCTTTGCTGGACACACAGCAGGAGCTCCGGGCAAAGCACACCAGGGCAGAGGTTGATCTCGGCTGGGCTCTGACCCTCGGCCTGTGCCTCCTGCAAAGAGAGGGCAGAGAAGGCCCCAGCCTCCTGGTAATGACCAGGACCTTCTGTTCCTGGCCTCACTGCCTACCTGACCCTATCCTGCCTCTCCTGGGACAGGAGGGATCGGGCTCCAGGGTACCAACCAGAGGTCCTCGTGGAGGGCACTGTCCATCTTAAAAGCATGCAGGGCATGTGATTCCGTCCCAGCAGCTGGAATGAGGGCAGGACAAGGGTTCCTAGAGTGGGAGGACGACAGTATTGGCCCCAGGCTCCCCTGAAGCCACAGAGGACCTGGGAATAGGGAAGTGAGAATAACTCAGGACTGGCAGGGAATGAGGGTGAGCCTGGCTGGGAGGGTCCAGACAGACTGCCCTGATTTGGTTAGGAACACAGTGTGGGAGGTAGTGGAGTCTGAAGGGTGGGAGGACAGTGCCAAGTTAAAATGAGCAATTCTCCCCACGACCACTAGAGGGCAGGTGCCGCAGTCAGCCATGCTCCTCAAGGACCACCTGGGTCTTTTCCTGGGGGGCCAGGGAGGCTGGGCTGTGCTTGTACCCTGCCTGAGATAAGATGAGGAGGCCTAAAGCTCTGGGAAGAACCCGCAAAGGCCAGCAGCCAAAATGCCAGGACCTAATTCCTGGGGAGGGGGGGGGTCTTCACTCCCCAGTTAGAGGCCCTGGAATGAACCACACCTAACTTCTCTCACCCCCACCCTCTCCTATCTCCCTGGTTGTGAACACACGACCTCTATTAATCCAACCCAATTCTCACTCTTCCACTAGAATTACCCTTCAGCTTTGCTGCCCCCATTCCATACAATGGGATTAATGTTTGATAAGAGTTGGTCCTTTTGTTGATCACTGTTAAAAGGGCTGATGACAAACTAAAACTTAAGTCTAGGGGCTGTTATTTCTCTTAGTGTGGTACGCCTTTGAAATCCTCATTCAAAACAAAGGTCATCGAGCCCTGAAGCACATCGTTAGCGACCTTGCTTCATTACTCAGTAGCCTGGAGGGCTCCTAAATGGGCTCAGGGCACCCATGGGAGTCCTTTCCTGGGAGGAGGGTCCACCACTTCCCTTAGGTATTCACTGGGCTCCTATCTCCAAAAGGAGATAAGAACTACGGTGAAGGCTTAACCTCCGTGTTTTCAGAGGAGGACGAAGCCCGGAGGGGAGACCTGACACCCACCTCCCAGCAGAGGCCATGGGGCTAGTTCTGGCCTCCTGACTGCTTCCGGTGCTCTCACTACTGCCTTCTTTCTTAGGACGGGGGTAGACAATGTGTGGTGAAGTCTAGCTTACCTCATGGAGGCAGGGGCAGGGTCTTCTCTGGGGTGCAGGCTCTCTGGGTGGCATCTGTCACTCCAAAGGCTTGGCCTGGGCTTCACTGGCCTCCGAGGTTTGCTCCCAGATCCCATGCCCGAAGCTCCCCGGAGTTGCCACAAGGGGGCAGTGGTGCCCGGGCTGGCGGCACATTTAGGAATTCAGGCTCCAGGCCAGCCTCCCCGCTCCCCCCGACCCCCCACCACCACCGAAGTAAGAACCAGATTCTGAAATGGTCTGTCTTTATTATGCCAACAGAAAACAAAAAAATTCCCCAAGTGTAAACAGGAGAAAGGTGCTGGTTAAGTTACTCATCATTATCTTATTATTAACAAAATAAAGCACTATCTATGTTTACAGTCATAAAAAAAAGAAACAGCCTGGAGAGAAGTTGGGCTTGAGGGAAGGGGGGGATGGAGAGGAAGGGGAGATTGGGGGGGGGGGCGGTTAGGCACAGATGCCACATCTGCCCCTGTGGGGTTTGGGGTTCCCTTCCCACCCTGACCCAAGGGCTGTTCAGGATCTTTGTGGAGTCAGGTGCCAGTGGGATTTTTCTTAGGGAAATAATTTGTCCATGTGAGCAGGAGCTGAGGCAAGTTCCCCAGTTGAGTGGGGGAGGGGAAAGGAGCAGGCAGAGGGGCAGAGTCTTATCCTCACCAACCCAAGAATGGGGAGCCCCCCCTTCCACTCCCTACTCACCAGCTGCCATGAGGAGCCCTGGCTCTCCAGGGCTTCTGTCAACTGTCAGGAAGGGGGGCACCATCAATCCTCCTGTCCCCAACTCCCGGCACTCAGGCTGGGACCAGGGGCTGGGGCACGAAGACAGAGCCCCTTGGAGGCTGAGCACATTCCCATGTTGCTCTGAGCTAAAAATGGCTCTGTGGGAACGGCCCGGCAGGGGAGAGTCAGGGAGGGAGTGAAGGGACAGGCAGGGGAGGTCAGGGCGGCTGGTGGGCCCCGGGGCTGACCAGGGGCCTTACAGAAACCCAGACTGGCCAGCGGTGTCAAAAGGGCAGAGGCGCAGACCCCAAGAAAGGGAGACAGAAGAACAGCCCTGCAGAGAAACGAGGACAGAAACACACACAAGGACACACAGAACCTGAGACACCCAGACTGACAAAGAGGTAGCAATTTGGGGACAGTGAAGCACGGAGAGGCCCCCAGAGAAGCAAGAGTGGTATCAAGAGACACCCACAGGAACTCAGCAACAGTGCCTGGCACGGAGCAGGTGCTCAATAAATACCTCGCGCGATGAGTGAACAGATGGAAACACGCGTGTGCGTGTGCGCACACACACACACACAAACACGCGCACACATCTATACTCCGCAGCCAGAGGCACGACAGGCTGGGCAGAAGATCGAGACAGCGAGGGACAGCCAGACCTTTTTGCACAAAGTGATCCTGTGATAGAGGAGCGATGTGGGAGTGGAGGGGGGGGGGGCATGGGGGGGCGGGGTTGGTCCTACGGGGGCTGGTCCAGCCAGGACAAGAATGGAAACAAAGCATGTGGCCCCAGGGCGACAGGTCTGGAGCTGCCATACCCCTGGGGTGAGGAGACCTGCAGGAGGGGAGGGTCATACAGTGTCTGCTGGCCATGGGCCCCATGGGCCAAGGCGCTCAGCCCCCAACCACTCTACAGGTCCTGCCCGGTGAGGCCAGCAGTTCCCTGGGCGCGGCCGCAGGGCTGGTGGGGGGGCATCTCCCCCCAGGAGGCTATCTACAAGTGCACAGCTGTGCCCCTCTCCCGGGCAGGCCCAAGTCCAAGTACCAACAGAGTCCAGGCCGGCTGGCTGCGCCCATGGGCTGGGGGCCGGGTCTTCCCCGGGAGGAGCCCACCCCACTCAGATCAGTCTGTGAGCACCACCAGCTCCCCGTCGCTCTTCTCGTCGCCCTCCGAGTCCTCGTCCTCGCTGTACCGGTACAGCTCACCCTCCACCACTGAGTGCCTGTCTTCCGTGGCCTCGCCCTCCTCCCTGAGGCTGCAAGTGTTGACGATGACAGGCATGTTGGGGTCCAGGCTCCGGGGCACGTAATGCTCCACCAGGGGCTGAGCCAGGGGCATGCCTGCCACCCGAGGGTACAGGACGTCGGGAGAGCTCATCTGCAGGTGGCCGGCCTGGGGGCTGCAGGGCAGAGAAGAGGCACGTTGCAGAAGGACCCTCACTTTGCACCCCCATAAAGCTCCCCCCACCCGCTTTGGGGTTGTGCCCTCCCACCCCACCACCACGCTTTCGCTCTGACACCACACACACACTCCACCCCCCCACCCCCCCCACCCCCCCCCCCCCCCCCCCCCCACCCCCTCCCGGCTGCCTTCTGATGGCCACATTCACGGTCAGCCACAGCCCAGCACGCATGTGCGGCCTCAGGGTCGGCAGCATGTTCCACAGATACTCCCGGGGGAACGTGTGGGAATCAGCATTAGGAAGCGATAGACTTAAATGCCCCAGGGGGGTTCCCGTTTACACGAATCCACGAAAGTGCTTGCTTCTGACAAGTCAGGCACCCCCTGTATGAGAAGCACCTTTGTTTTTAGTAGCCCTGAATTTTTTCATGGAGTTTGTAACTCACAGGCACGTTTTCCTCCAGGTACACGTGGCCAGCGCCCCCCAGTCAGGTACAAACCCATACCCCACACCCCTGCAGCCCCACGGGTGGGCCCCGGGAGACACACGACGCCCACGCACACGTGCGCTCCAGGCCAGACAGCACCCCCGGAGACCCCGACGAAGGCCGCCACACACCAGCATCAGCATGCGCAGCGCAGGGACGCGTGCACGGTCCCCACCACCCAGGGAGGCGCAACTCACGGGGTCACGTAGCTCTGGCGGGCGTCCTGGCGCCGGGTCCTCATCAGGGCTTTGTACTCGCCCACCCGGAGCCGCTTGCCCTCCACGATGCAGGTGCGCTTGGGCCGGGGCTTATACTTGTAATCGGGGTACTTTTCCAGGTGCTGCCGGCTCAGCCTCGCCTGCTCCTCGTAGTACGGCTGCTTCTCCTGGTTGGTCATGGACTTCCAGCGGGAGCCTGGCCCGGGCCCCGGGGTGGGCGGTCAGTGTGGGGTTTTGCCCACCATCCCCAGCCCCCCTGCAGGCCCCAAGACTTGGGTCCCCAGGTGAGTCCATGAGGTGATCTATGTGCCGACATTTAGCAAGGACCTGGCCCAACACAGGTGCTCCTTGGAGGTCCCTTGAGCAAATGAATGAATGAAGCTGGCACGTGCTACCACGTCCCAGACTACCCAGCAACTTCTGGGAGGCCTCTGGTCTGCATGATTTGCATAAACAAAAGAACAGCCCCCCCGGCCTCCTGCTTAAGACAAAATACCTTGTCAACTGTCTCGGTTGACAAGAGACAAGAGCCTCCATCTTGAAGACAACTGCCAGCTTCTAGCCCCACCTGCCCTACATCCCTCCTTGACCTCCAGTCAGGACATAGAATTTTTTAAAAAAACCTTTCTACTGGGGCAATGGCTGGCTCAGTCGGAAGAGCATCTGACTCTTATTTATGAGTCTGAGCCCCATGTTGGGTGTAGAGATATATATATATATAAATAAAACCTTTCTAAGGATAGCCCGAGAACACCAGTCCTTCCTCTTTCTTGCCAGAGCCAGAGTTCCAAGGGTCTGGACCAACAGCAGAATAGGTTAGGGAGAGATCAGGGGCTAAAGAACGCGCGCACGCACGCCTGAGTTCTTAGGTGCAGGTGCTAACCAAAGAGCCCTATGATGATACAAAACCCCAGGACCCAGCCTCCGCACATCCGGCCTGACCCCTGTACCCCAGACTCCTCTGAAGGTCATCATCCTGACAGCTGTCTCCTGGAGCCCTGAGAGCTCCCAGACTCCCCACCACTGGCCCTTACCCAGGATCTTGCTGATGCTCGAGTTGTGCATGTCCGGGAAGGCTTGGAGGATCTTCCGTCGCTCATCCTTGGCCCACACCATGAAGGCATTCATGGGCCTCTTGATGTGGCTGCTGCTGCGGGACTCAGGAAAGTGGCGGGAGCCTGGGGGACAGGGGTGGAGTCAGCCAGGCGGGGCGGCTCCTCTGGGGTAAGGAAGGAGAGGCCTCCGCGACTGGCAGTCATCTCCTACTTGATCACTAGGGGGCGATGGCGGGGCTCCCACAGCCGCCATTGGACACCAGCAGCAAGACCTCCGCAGAGGCCCAGCCGGGGACTGACAAGGGACAGACACACGAGGGGACTCCAGAGACAGACTATGGGAGAAAAGGCATCAGGGACAGAGACGACCTGACCCACCCTGGCCCCCGTGGGAAGCAGAGGCGGGCCCTCCTGCCCACCAGCCCGGGGTCCTACCGTCCATGTCGCAGCCCAACATGGCTTCTTCCAGGGGGTGCACACAACTCTCCTCCAGCCGCTCCTTGGCCGGGGACGTGTCCAGGCTGATGAGGTCCTGGGGTTGACAGAGGAAATCTACATCGGCCTCTCTGCATCACCCCACTGCCCTCCCTCCACCCCTCCCTCTGGTGGCCTCAGACTTGAGTCTTCCACCCCAGCCACCGTCTGTTGGTGGTTCCCTGCGCCCCGGTGCAGGGGAGTGGGGGGCCCATACCTTGCGGAAGGGAGCGTTGGGGGAGCTCTCTAACGCCCCACTGTGGCCATGCAGCAGCTGTCGAGCATCCTGAATGGCTTTGGTGACAGCGTCCCCTTCACCAAGGAAGCCTATGGGAGAAGCGGGGAGGCTGAGGGTTCGTAGAGAGGTAACCCTGTTCACAGGGGGTTGGCATCCCCTCTCGCCCCTCTGCACTGCACATCCCCAAGGGGGCGCTGTTTACACTGGCTGTTTCCCCGTGTGCCAACGGACTAGAATGCAGACTTGCACTCCCTGAAATTGTGCGACTCCGTGGCCTGGATCCCTGACGTGGGGGTTCCCAGTCAGATCTGGGGGGGGGGGCAGGAGGTAAGGGAGCTTCTGAGGCACTAAGTGTGGAAACAAAGAGGCCAAAGACAGCAGGTCTAACCCTTGTTTTCCAGAAACCTGTAACCCACAAAGGGAAGGACATGCCCAGGGTCATAAGACGCCCTCCTGGCAGGAAGCTTACCCAGTGGCAGGCTGGGCGGGCTGGCCTGCAGGTCCCGCGTGGGGGCCCCATGGCTGGGGGGGCGGGGCCCACAGTTGTTCATCTTCAGGCTGGGGGAACTGGAGGCATTGGGCAGCTCGGGGGCCTTGGGCTTGGCCGTGAGGTTCAGAGGCTGGGAGGGCTCCTGAGGGAGACCCAGAGATCAGAGGCTGAGAGAGACACTGAAGGAGACCCCCCCCCCCACGGAGGGACAGAGGGGACACGTGGTAACAGCGAGAAAGACAGGCGTACCGGGAACAGACAAGGAGACGCAGGAACAGGTGAACAAGGACGGAGGGCCCCACCACCCGCCAGGCAGGCAGCCCCAGCCATCCCAGGCGAGGGGTGGAGCAGTACCTGCAGGGGGTGGTGGGCAGCCACAGCCCCGGACCTCTTCACCACGGGGGCAGGGGGACTGTGCAGCAGCGGTAGGGGGTACTCCACTACGGAAAAGGCGGCAAGGAGAAAAGTCCTGGATGAGCACAGAACAGCAGACGGCCTGCTTGACGAGGTCCCAGCAGCACCAAGGGGACAGAAGCTCGAAGCTGGCCCAGTCGGCTTCCAGCCACGGCTTTCCCCAGCCCCAGAGTGCCAAGGCTTCCCATGCCCTCATCCCCCGCTGCCCAGCCCGCTGGTCCGCATCTTCACCTTTTTCCTGCCCTTTCCAACCCCCGGAGCCTCGGGGTCCAACACAATGGTGACCCGAGGCCAGGTACACCTGCTCACTCTACGGATACTCGTGGTCCGTACCTACTACGTGCAGGTCTGAAAGCCGCTCCCCGCGTGTTAGCCTGTCTCCTGCAGTAGCTCACAGTAATCCCTAGTGAGTAGCATACAACAGGGGCTCGGTACATCACCCCGTTTTGCAGAGAAGCGGAGACTAAGCAGATGAAAAATGGGTTGCCCACGTAGCTCAGAAATGGGAACAAGGACCTGTGAATCCAGGTCCACAGGTCCTTGAGACTCCATAGCCCATGCTTTCCCCTTTACGTGGCACCCACCTTCTCCATTCTCCATCCTACCGCGCCCACCTCGCTCACCCTCAACCCAGCCCAGCATCACGGAGCTGGCCGTTCAGGTGGAGAGCTAAGCCGCGGACACAAGTCACTAACCACATGGTCAGTAGGGATACAGGCTGCATGGGTGGCATGCCAGAGAACCTGGTTCCAGCTGGGGTGCCCGGAGCAGGCTTCCTGGGAGGAGCGGCAAGAGGTGGGCTAGTGGCTATGGGTGGGCAGGCGGAGGGCGAGCACGGAGGTGAGAGCCAAGGCATGGGAAAGGAAACTGGCCGTGACAGGCAACCTTGGGAGTTTGTGGACTCCATGCTGTAGGCGACAGGGCACCATCTAGGGCTTGTGAGCTAAGGAGAGGCGTGATGCACTCAGCTTGGGGAAGGGCCCTCTGGAAGCCTCCAGGCCCCCTGGTTACTAGGATTCTGGAGCCAACAAAGCGGGTGGCAGTCTGGCCAGTTGAGGTCTTCCACAGCTTGTTTCCTGCCTCCCTTGTCCAGAAGGCACGGGCTCAGATGCACCCCAACGCCCCCACCAGGCCCTGCCCTCCTCACTCCAGCAGCTCTATTCACCCAGAGCTGCAGTGGGTTTGTGCTGCTGGCCTGCTCCCCCTTCCTAAACTCCCTACCTCCCCAGGTGGAAAATTCCTGGAAGGCAGGGCCTAACTTTTTCAGTCCTTTGTGTCCCCCCACCCAGAGTGCCTGGTGTAGAATGAGGCAGGAGCAGAGTCCGTGACCCACGAACTGTGCCCATAGCCCACAGGCCTTGGTGGCAGGCCCACAGGAACTCACCTACCTGCTCTCGCACACGGAACAGGGATGGTGGACCAGAGGGGCTCGACCTAAAAGCTGTCCCCACTCCTGGGGCAGCTATGGGCAACATCCCTGCCCTGTCCCATGACCCTTCACCAGGAATCCATGATCACGGCCTACATATTCCATCTGTGCCTCTGTCCCACCACCTCTGCCCGAGTGCAGGCTGTCATGCTGTCCCCAGAAGCCCCTCAGCAGCCCCCCACTGGTCCCCGCTCCAGCTGGTACCCCGTCCCTCTCTGTTCCCCATCACCCAGTCGGTATATGACAACACACCCTCCGTTCAATCGTTCAAGCATGATTGCATTCTACAAAATAAATTCCCTCACCGGCCTGTCCCACGACCACCCAGTCATGCGCTCCCCTCAACTCCAACCCTCTGCAGCTTCTGGCCGCAGGCTCCAGGCCCTCTGCCTCAGACTGCCTTCCACCCTCAGCTCCCAGCTTCACCCCCTCAGTCTACCTCCTGGGCACCAACTAATTTCTGACCTCCTTAGAAAGCCTTCCCAGATTCCCCAGTTACTGGCATCCTTTCTCCCTGCTGAGACCATAAATTCCTGGAGCTCAACGTCCATTTTTATCATCACCCTTCCCCCACCCCGTGGCCACCTGACAACACAGCGTCTGACAGGTGGTTGGCGCTCAGTCTGTGTTTGCTGAATTTCGGGGGCGGGGCAGAAGGGGCACGGTTGGGGTAGAGACAAGAGTGAGAGTCTGGGAAATGTAGACACCTCAGTGAATGTCCAAGATGTTACTATTCTGGTCCAGTAAAGGGACCAGAGCTGGGGACACTGCATCTAAATCGGCCACATCCGCTTACATCTGCCAAGTACTTCATGGTGTTCAAGTGCTATTGCTGTTCATTCTCCCAGTGAAGTTCCGAAAGAAGGGATTCTTCTTCCACTGGACAGATCCAAAAGCGAGGCCCAGGAAGGCCACATGGTAAAGGAATGCATGAGCACGGTCCGGGGCTCCTTCAGTGACCTTAGGACAGCCTCTGCTAACGGCTGCACCCCCACCCCCACTCACCTGGTTTGCAGGGGATGGGCTGAATGGGCAAGGCCAGCTGGGAATCGGGGGTGACAGGTAGAGGCTGGTGGCTCGGGGGAAAGGCCGGGATCATGACATAAGGCATGTTGACCTGCTGAGAGCAAAGAAACCCTGTGTGAGTCCCTGGGGGCCCACACAGCTCAGCCCAGGACACGGCATGGGGACCCAGACACGGGAGGCATGCAGACCAGTACAGGACCAGTCTTCGAAAGGCTCCACCAGACCCCACATCACCTCCCGCTACCTGCCCTCAGCTCAGCCCCAGTTGGGGACGAAGGTACTCTGGCCCCTCCCTTAAAACAGAGGAAGACGACGGGGGCACGGGGCCAGAGTGGAAATGAGCCCCCTCCTCGGGGCCATGCCCGAGTGATTCTGCTTACTCTGCACCCCGTCCCTCCGTCCCTGGCGTCACCCGCTGCGCCTCTGGCCACCCCCCTCTTTACCTGGATCTGCTGCTGGAGGAGGTTGATCTTATGTTGCTGCTGAATCAGCTGCTGCTGCTGTTTAGCGATCTGGCAGCAGGGAAGAGCAGGGGAGGGGGGAGGTCACGGACATTAGCCCCAGCCCGGGGCCTGCCGCGCCGTGCCCTCCGTGCCCTGAGCAGGGCAAGCACCAGGACAGTCCACCTTCAGAGTGCGTTCTCCCTTTGCAGGGAGCTCACTCTCCTCTGAGGCCGCCACGGGAGGTGAGGCGGGAGGTGAGTGGGAGGTGAGGCGGGTGCTCCCTCGCAGAGCCCCGCAGGCCCCTTCCACCCCCTGGCTCCCCCCAGGGCCGAGTCACAGCCAGCCTGGGGCCCCTGCCCATGGCCCCTCCCGGGCCTGCCCCCCCGCCCAGCCTCGCTCGGCCTGCACTACCAGGTCTGCCCCCACAGTGCTCCCCTCCAGGCCCCGATAGACCCCCTCTCCCCTAGCAAGGCAGCCGGACACCCAGCGGGACCTACCTGCTCCTGCTGCTGCCGGGCCAGCTCCATCTGCTGCTGCTGCTTCTCGAACAGCATGGCAGCCATGTTCTTCTGCTCCGAGTGCGCCGTCAGGAGCTGGTCCCGCAGCGTGGACAGTTGGTGGATCATGACCAGGAGCTGGAGCTCCTTCTCTGCCAGGCTCTCCTGGGTTCCTGCTCCACGATGAAATGGCCACCGGTGAGAATTGTTGTTTTTCTGTCCATCTGTCCACCCACGCATCCACCCACCCATCTGACGTTCATTGGGCAATTGCTACCTCCCAGGCCCCTGTTAGGGGCCAAGTGACAGAGGATGGAGACACGATCCTTGCCCCAGAGGGGGCTTGCTTGCCTTCTGACGACCACCTGCCCTAGAAGGTCCCCACCCGCTGCTTCCAGCCCCTGGAAATGCAGACAGTGGGACACATCTCAGTCCCACATCACTTCTCAGAGGTCCTCAAGTGCCCTGAGATGCAGGGTCAGCGTGGATGACTATCCCACAGGAGGCTGTCCCGGGGCTGTGGGACAAGTAACCGACTTCTCTGCACTTCGTCTTTTTTAGTCTATCAATGAGCACAAGAACGGTCCCTTCACAGGGGTGCCGTGAGGCTAAGATAATGAAGGTAAGGCTTAGTCCAGAATCCGGCACACGGCCCTCACCCAAAAGGACCACTGCTTCCTGCCCTCCCGCTGAGCTCATGACAGACGCAGCCGGGCCAGGCTGCAGGCCACTCGCCTCAGAATCACTCAGGGAGCCTTCGACAAATACACAGGCCCAGTGCCCAGCCCCTGGGGTTCACATTCAGCAGGTGGAATGGAGCCTGGGCATTGGCACGGTTTTAAAGCTCCCCCTGGGGGTGTGACTGACCACACTGGGAAAACAGCGACGCTCACGAACCAAGCAGCAGCCCTTGAATTCAGTTAGTGAGGTCCCGGTGGCCTAGAATTAATTTTCAGCAGTGAAAGGGCACGTCCAGCTTGTTTGATATAGTTAGATACAGTTAGATCTGGGAAGTGGCAGTGACCTGCCTGAGGTCACAAGGGTCCCTGTACGAGTCCAAATTCAGGGGCGCCTGGGTGGCTCAGTCGGTTAAGTGGCTGCCTTCGGCTCAGGTCATGATCCTTAGGTCCTGGGATTGAGCCCTACATTGGGCTCTCTGCTCAGCAGAGAGCCTGCTTCTCCCTCTCCCTCTGCCTGCACTCTGCCTACTTGTGCTCTGTCAAATAAATAAATAAAATCTTATTAAAAAAAAAAAGAGTCCAAATCCATACTCGTGGAATGGGATTCCCACCAGGCCTCTCCTGCCAAGAGGCCAGATGAACACTCAGTCCCCAGGGGAGGGATGGTGCTGACCGCCAGGGCCAGGTAGGAGCCAGGAGGGCATAGGCCAGGTAGGAGGGGACTAAGAGCCCCCCAAACTGCCGTATAGGCCCAGACCGCATGGCCCAGCTAGGAGAAGGGAAAGGGTTCAGACATCCTCCCCTGCCTACCCACATGGGCCTTCACCTTTGACATCTTTGGTTTCCACAGAGCTCCTTCCCAGAAACCTCTCCTTCCAGTCACTGGACAGCAGCTTCTCGATGGCCGGCACGACTAGAAGATACCAAAGGGATGAAAAGCAGAAGTCCTAGCACCTCCCACCCCACGCCCACCTCCAACCTGGGCAGACATCTTACCCTGCTTTTTAATTTTTTCCCCCCAAGATTTTATTTGAGAGCAAGAGCGAGAGAGCAAGCATGAGTGGGGGGAGGGGCAGAGGGAGCAGCAGACTCCCCGCTGAGCAGGGAGCCTGATACGGAGCTCGATCCCAGGACCCTGGGATCATGACCTGAGCCGAAGGCAGACGCTTAACGACTGAGCCACCCAGGCGCCCCTAGACTAATCTTACCTTCTTTTAAATGTTGGTTGAAGTCTAGCTTCTCCTGGCTTCCAGAGGCGGCCTCAGAAGCTCCCAGTCTCTTGGGTTCCGGGGACCCATTGCTCTCAGGGGAGCTGCAATCCTACAATACACACTGAATGTCACTGTCACCCTCAAGAGAAGGGGGCAGACTGCAGGGGGAATCGAGTAGCCCGGGGATGCACACCCAGCCCCCCGGGTAGGGGGCCCCCCCCCCAACCTTCCCAACCTTTGGCTTTGCTGGATATAGCGAAGGCACAGGTTTGCAGATCAGAGACCTGGATCTCGGTCCCGGCTCAGTGACTCACGAGGCGCTTGATCCCACATGAGACTCTGAACTTCTCTGAACCTGACTTACTTCCCTCTTCTGAAAATGGAAATACTAATACCTCCCCTGTCAGGACTGTTGCTGGGATCAAGGACGTGAACGCACGTGAATGAGGTTCGCTGCTGCAGTCGAGGCCAGCGAGCTATTAATCACCACTTCCTTGCACACAGCCTTATCTGCAGCTGGGTGGGTGACTCCTGGGACCCCCCCCACCCCTCCTTAGGACACCACCCCACCCCTCCTTAGGACACCACCCCCGCCAATTCTCCTCACCAGAGTCCTCTCCATTCTTTAAGGCCTAATTTGGGGCGCTACTCCTCCAGGAAGTCTCCCTCATCACTACCCCACCCCCTAACCCCTCCCACAGGCCCCTCCAGGCTGGATCCTTCCTCAGGGCCCTAAAATTCTCATTTTCATTCATTTGGTTTTAGTTACATATTACCCTTTCTGCAGCTCTTGCATGGAATCGGGATTTTTAAGAACTGCAAGAATCCTTCCTGCTCATGTTCAGAACGCCTTCATCTTAAGGATGAGGAATTGTATTGTCTTTAACAGTGGTTGATCTCAGGCTCGGGTAATAAGGCTGATTTTCTCAAATCATATGGTAGATAAACTTTGAGCAGATGTATCCTGTCTCTCCAACTAGTCCTCAGAGGTAAGGACTGGTCACACACGGGTGAGCAAGCACAGGAGCGAGGCCACGTACCACTCAGACAGGTGGCCTGACTGAACTTGGCAGCCCCTCCCCACCCGCCGAAGTCTTGCCCCAGAGACAGACAGTGCTGCCTCCTGTCTGCCCAGCTTGGTAAGTGGGTGCCCGCCCAGCCTCAAGGAGAGGCCGGGTATGGCACGTCGGTGTGGGCTACGGAGGCAAAGCGGGGACACTGACCCAGGAGCCCCGGGGAAAGTGCCGGGCACCTGGGCTGGAGCTTGGGAGTCAGCACCGTCCTGGGGAGCCCGGGCTGGGTCTCCAGGCTGGGGTTCAGCTGCGGTGGCCGAGCCCTGGAGGGCCTCATGGCAGGGCTCCTTCTTCCCTTCGGACTTGACAGTGCAGTTCACCATGGTGCCCACGCCATCCGGGGCCAGCTGGGCAGAGCCAGGGCTCCTCATGGACATCCTGAGGGAGAAGGAGCAGAGGGAAACTGATGGTGGATACGGCAATTCCACCCTCACCAAATGCAAACTTCCATTTGGAACCCACAGTGAAAAAAATAAAAAAATATTCTTCAGTCCTGTGCTTTTTTTTTTTTTCTTAAATGGTAAGGTCTACAGCCAACTGGGCCCAGCCTTCAGCAGGTCCTGCCTACTGCCATGTTGGAGCTGGTTGGCTGAATGGTCCACCAAAGGAGGGCAGAGATTTTCAACTGGCAGTTTCTGAGCCCAGCAAAGTCAAAATCATATATATGTGTGTGTATCTGTGTGTGTGTGTGTGTGTGTGTTTGTAATTAGCTAACAAAATTTAAAAATCACGAGACCTCACATAATCTGGATTTGAACTTCTCTTGAAGTTGGTCTGGGGCCAACAACTGGCTGGAATTAAGTAGCAGGTGCTCCTTATGGACAGGCCAGTTTTCCTTAGTCCCTACCATTCCCTACTGACCCCCAAAAGGGGAACCAAGTGTCATCTACCCTATATATATATATTTATCCTTTTTTTCCTCTTAGAGAAAAGATAAAAGTGAACTGTTTTTTATATTCATGTATCTACCAAAAGTAGGATAATAACAGGCTGAGATGTAGGGCTTGAAGAAAGATGTTTTCTTTCAGCTAGCTAGAGTCCCTCATTTAGAGTCTCTCTCATTGGCCCCTGTAGGCATTTGCAATCCCTGCTGTAAGCAGCCTTTGCACCCCTGCTCCCATCACGGCATCCCCCAGCACCCCCCCCCCCCCGTGTCATTGTCACCACTGCCTGGGACACCAGGAGTAGCTGAGCGAGCTAAGGATCCTGGGGGGTGAGTGCTGGTGGTCAAGCCAGGCTCACAGCCAAAGCAGCAGTGGCCCCCAGCTCACCTGCTCCCTATCGAAAATCACTGTGACAAGACCAGCGGGGACACCCAGCAGCAAGTTCTAGGTATCCGTAGGTCCTACACCCACTATGTGACCTTAGGTAAGTTACTGAACCTCTCCACACCTGTCTCCTCATCTGTAAAATGGGCAGTTCTGAGGACTAGGAATTGCTAAAATTTACCTGTTTAGAATGTTTCGCGGCACTAGTAAACACCCCTGGCACTAGTAAACACCCCTTGTTAAAACACCGTAGAAATGCAGTCCCTACAAGGGACCCACAGTCCAAACATGGCCTGGGGGCTTGCGTGGGAGTTAGTCAAGGGTCACTTGCAAATCAGAAACCCCGTGGGTAGAGCAGGAATCTATTTTAACAAACCCTTCAGGTGATTCTGATACCCACTAGTTTGAGAAGCACTGTTAAATAAAAATTTAAACATTTTTGCATGGGCATCACATTTTGGGGGGGAGTGTAAGGCAAAAATCAGATATAGCAAAACAGCCCTTAAAACTGAATTGCGGGGCGCCTGGGTGGCTCAGTTGGTTAAGCGACTGCCTTCGGCTCAGGTCATGATCCCGGAGTCCCTGGATCGAGTCCCGCATCGGGCTCCCTGCTCGGCAGGGAGTCTGCTTCTCCCTCTGACCTTCCTCCTTCTCATGCTGTCTCTCATTCTCTCTCTCTCAAATAAATAAATAAAATCTTTAAAAAAAAAACAAAAACTGAATTGCGGGTGTAGCATATCGTGTATCATGTCAACTCCCTACAACAAAATGTTTCTTGTAACATAGGAGTGAGGCCCTGTGCTGGAAACAGGAGTCCCTGTGCACTATTTTACATTAAACAACTGAACGGACATTATAGTTGAATAAGGTGTATTTGATTTGATGCCATCTAAACCAGAACAGACCTCTCCCGCCACTTTCAAAGGGCGGGGTGCCCTGGGGACCGACATGGGAGCCGGGACGGGCACTGCAGGGTGAGGAGAGTGGGGCAGACCGGACCCGAAGAACGCTGGCCCGGGAGAAGAGGCTCCGGGGTCGGGCCCCGGGGTCCCCTCTCACCACGCAGGGGCCTGGCCAGCGTCCAGGAAGCCGGCGGCTCGGCCCATCCGGGCACAGGGAGGGGCGCCCAGCCAGGCCCCGGGCAGGGGTGGGGGGTGGGGGGCGTAGGGGCGGGGCGGCCGGGGAGGTGGGTATTATCCCGAAGCTGAGGGCAGCAATTACATAACAAACAAACCCCGGGCTCAAGCTGTGAATTAATCAAACCGCTGAAAATAAAACCTTCCTCTCAGGAACTTCAGACAAAAGAAATGAAAACAACCAGGCTGGCTGGAAAATAAAAGGCAGCGGGGCTGAAAGGGGGACAAAAGGAAACCAGACAATAGGGTGTTGGACAAAGGCAATAAAGCCAGAGGAAGTGTGACAGGCGAACAATGCGGGCCTGTGCGCTTGTGATCCCGGGCCGCTCCGCGCCACCTCGTCCCACACCCACCGCTCCGCTGGGCGTGGGCAGGCCACCAGGGCACCTCCTCACTCCCCACTCGGGTCCTAAGGGGTTTTCGCCTCCATCCTGTCCCCAACTTAGGGCCTTCCAGGTCCTACCTCAAAGCCTTTCTCCCACTGCAGCCCAAGACCCCGGCCGCGCAGTAGGGCGCAGGGGAGCGGTCCGTGGACCCGAGGCCCCGGTGGTCCGGGCCGCTGCGTCCCCAGGGCAACAGGCTGAGCCACCATCCACCTCCCCCACGCCGCCCCGGGCTGAAGGGGAAGGCAGAGGAGGTGATTAACAGCCCTAACTGACTCTAGGACTGCGCTGCCCACCCCACCATGGCCACGCACCACCTGCGGTCACGGAGCCGGTAATCGGCCAGTTCCCGTGCAAATGGAAGTGTCAACTGCACCCCAGTTTCCAAGGCTTAGGATGAAAACCAGAATGTAACCTAGCTCATTAATAAATGGTTATTGATTAGATGTTGAAATTACAATGTTTTGGATACATGGAGTTAAATAAAATACTGTTTTCACTTGTTTCTTTTTACACTTCTTCATGTGGTTACTGGAGAATTTAAAATTACGCATGAGGCTCACGTTGTATTTCTGTTGGAAAGTGCTGCATTAGGACATCTCCCTTTGAGCTCTGATGGCCTTTTTACCCACACTTAACCCCCAAGAGTACCTCCAGCTGGGCACTGGGGATTATCTTTATACTGGGGAGCTTGCCTCCTGGGGCTCCCAATGGCACAGCCCCCGCCCCGCCCCCAACAAAGAAAAGGACTCCTAGTGACCAGCCAAGCTGGCTTGGAGGTGTCCGTCTGTTCACCAGGGCATGGTGCCCACCAAATAACCCGGCCAGATCCTGCTGCCCAGACAAGGCCCCTTCCATTTCCACAGGCGTCTGCCTCAACTTCGGGCACTGGGCCCTGGCTCTCGGTTGGTCTCTTGGGACCCATTTGTTGATGGAGAAGCAACAGCCTAGACCTGAGGGGCTCCTCCCAGGGTCTCACGTTTCGGGGCGGGGGGGGCGCGGGGAGAGGGTCCTTGGGCAGCTCCTTCCCTCCCTTTCGCATTCCTAGAGCACAGGCCTGCTCAAAGAGCAGCCCCTTTCCCTGCCCACAGAGATGGGAGTCCCTCGGAGAGGGTCAGCGCCAAGCTCTGGACCCTAACCATGCTGCTCTCTTTTCTCTGAGTGGACAGCAAAAGCTGCATGTGATAAACTAAATGAGGAGAGAACGGAGAACCAGGTGGCAGGTACGAAGTTGATATGCAGTCCCCGCTCTGCCACTCTGCAGCTCATGTCCCTGCACGGGTGACTTCACCTCTGCAGGCTCTGCTGGGAGGACAAGGGTATTTGGGGGACGATGGTGGGTGGTCCAATTTTGGGTTCCCCAACCTCGGTTCAAATTCCTGCTCTGCCACCAGCTGATGTGTGTCACCTTAAGCACGTTAATTAACTCTGAGCTTCTTCGGTCTCATTTGAATAATGGGTATAAGAATCCCTATCTCACCAGTGCCCGTGAAGATTAATTAACAGAGGGTATCCATTAAGTTCATATAGCCCAGGATGCTCCTAGAGTCAGGTGGTTGAGAGAAAAAGTTATCAGGGGTGAGACAGACCTGGGCACATCTAAAAGCCAACTCTGTCCAATCAATTGCTGTGCTATCTGGAGCAAGTGACTTAACCTCTCTGAACTCATTTCCTCCTCATTAAAATAAGAAAACCCAATATGAAGGGATGAGTCTTCCACTAACACTCCAGACTTTATAATATGTGCCTGTTTTGCATTCTTAGGACACCATAAACTTGGCCTTTGGGGTACTTATCACAGTTGGTAAAGATACCTTTACATGCTTCATTAATTTCTGACTGGCCCAGTAGCGTGAGAACCCACCCACACCCCACACCCCACACCCCAGGGCACTGTGGAAACATACCCGTTTTTGCTCATCAATGTAGCCCCCGAGTCTAGCACAGAGCCTGGAGCACAGCAGGTGCTCAATAAATAGTCATACAATCCGAGTATAATACAGTTTGGCAAAATAGCACAAGGCAGATCTGGGCACATAATAAAGCAACAGCTATTACAAATCTTCCTCGACTTATGATGGGGTTATGTCCCAAAAAACCCATCGTGAGTTGAAAATATCGTTAAGCCGAAAATGCATGTACTCCACCTAACCCACCCAACGGCACGGGCTTAGCCTAGCCCACCTTGAACGCGAACACTTACACTAGCCTACAGTGGGCAAGGTCATCTAAACCAAGCCTATCGTATAAAAGTGTTCAGTATCTCATGTAATTTACCGAACACTGTCCTGAATGTGGAAGACAGGCACAGTCATTGTGTCTCGTGGCTGCCTGGGAACCACCGCCGCCCACCATCACGAGGGAGCACCGTACGGCGTAACCGCCAGCCCGGGGAAAAGATAAAAATTCCGAGTACGGTTTCTACTGAATGCCTATGGCTTCCTGACCATCATAGAGTCAAAAAACCGTAAGTTGAACCGTCATCGGTCAGACCGTCTGCGTTATTACGCACGAGAAGCTGCTCTCTGCGGCACACGGCCCACCCCCACCCGAACTCAGCCGCCTCTTCCTTCCATCTAAGCTCTTCCTAGGAGCGACTTAAACCCCCCAGCACCAAAGCCGGTCCATTTCCCTTTGCCTTTACCTTGGGACAGGTAAGAAACACTTCCCACACCTTTTGGAGCCTATTGGAGTCTTCCCTGAAGTCTCTTCTTTTCCGAGAATAAAAAACCCCTCCCATTCCTTTACCCTTTCCTCAAAAAAGCACGCTCCATGCTTCCCTTACCCACATGGTTTTTCAGGAGGTTTGAGGTCAGCAACCACACCTAACCTCTGTCTCCAGAGGCCTAGAAGCCCAAGGACCCCAGGCGCACAGGAGCTCTGAGTTACTGGGCTCCCCCAGCTCCCCCCCCAGGTCCGGGTCAGAGGCCACAAACCCACAGGACACTGGGGTCAGCCGCCTAGCCAGGTGGAAGTGCTCCTGGGAACCCAGTCTTCTCCCTCTTGCCCAGCCTTACTCGTATTTTATAAATGGAGAAACTGAGGCTCAGGGAGGACCAGTTTCAACAGTCCTGCTTCGGAGCTAGAGGCATGGGGACACGAAACCAGCTGGGCTACGGATCAGCACCCCTGCTCTGCCCACCCTTCCCTTCTAGGGCGCCCACTCCCCAGGCCCCCTGCCGCCTTCCCTCTCGGCCTTATCTCTCACCTGAGCATCCGTAAGAGGTGAAGACCTCATAGGGGGAGACGGTTCAAGCCATCCTCACCCCTGATGGGGCAGAGCCTTGAGTCTGTGAGCTGGTGGCAGAGAGGCCCTGGGCTCCCCAAACCCTGTGCCCAGCGCAAGGCACAGAGAGGCACCCGTGCTCCCGAGGACCAGCGGCTCAGAACACGGCTCTTCCAGGGCAAAGCTGACTGCAGGTGCCGGTCCTCTCCCTTTTCTCCTCCCCGCAGCCAACCCTCTCCTGGGCCCTCCGACCCCCACCCACAGGAGCACGGCGCACAGGCCCCCTTCTACCCAAAACAAATCACCAGCCGCTTCCTCTCCCAATCAGCCAACGACCTGGCCCAGCTGGACTGGAATCAAAGAAGTTTTCACCCTTAGCCCTTCCTCCCTCTATAACGACAGCCCCCTCCCCCCGCAAATATCTAGATGCAGATAAAGATAGAGATAAATTCCAGTCATCGGAGCATGACGGGTGACTCAGACCCTGGGGTACAGGAAGACAGCCTGAGCAGACAGGCAGACCCCCCGAGGAGGGCCATGACCACACTTCCCCACAGGGCCCACACCAAACGTACACTCTACTGCAGGCTCCCACTCCCAGGCTCGCCGAGTGGGTGGTGCCAAAGGGCACCGCCAGGGAGAGAGAGCCCCACGGCAGGGGTGGGGCAGGGCCTGAGTCCCTGGGGAATGTCACTTCCTCTCAAAGCCCCAGAGGGTGGCGAGCCTCAGGCAGCCCCGAACAATAGCCCGAGGCGTGGGTGCCCAGAACGGTGCCCCGGTGCCACATCCTGCCATTCTTCTCCCAGGCCGCACCCTGCCACCCTTCCTGGCTACGCCCGATCCTATCTCTGATGTTTACTCAGCGCTGGGAGCTGGGCTGGCTACAGGCTCGGGGAAAAGCTTTCCTGAGAAGCCCCTCTCACCCTCTCCAGCCTCTGCGGGCCCCAGGGGTACCCGATCCAGGGCGTGTGCTGGTCTGGTCTACCCCAGCTCAGGAGAGGGCCACGGCCAATACCCCCCACCCCTGGGCTGTGCTGGGTAGGCCAAAATGGTATTCACCTGGCAGAGCAGCCGATACCAGCCAGTGTAAACTGTGAGCAACCGAGCGTCTGCCCTCCAGCCTGCGAGAGCCGGCAGCCTCCCCCGGAACCTCCGGCCCAGAAGCCCAGATCCGGCCTGAGTTCCACCGACTGCCAGTTTGAGCTGTGCCCCGGTCCAAGGGCACAGCAGACTGAAGGAGCCAGGGAGACCAGCCAGGGAGACCCTGGAGCTGTGATGGTCCCATCCATGGCCCCACGTGGTTGTCCCTATGTCTCTGAGGCACCCGAGTCTTCTCCCAGGCCAGGAGGAGAGGCCAGGAAAAGACAGCAGGGATAGACTGCAAGTGCTGTTGAGGCTCCCAGTGGGATGCACGCCTGCCCCACCGTCCTGGGTAAAACGGAGTTTACCAGGTGTTTCCTGGAGTCCCTTCTCTGGGGCCCCTCCTGCCTTTAGGACTGCTTACGGTCTCCAGCCCACCCACAGTGCAAGGGGGCCCCTGCAGTGCTGTTCTTGTCTCCCAGTGACCACGTCGAAGGCCATGTGCTGGACAGCGGAATGAGTCTGGGCTTCTGCACCAGCCAGGCCCAGCCCAGGGCCAGCGCACAGCAGAAATGCTGCAGCCGAGGCTGACTGGCTTGTCAAAGGCCTTCTTTTGGGGATAGCCCCGAACGTGAACCAAAGGAAGGAGAGGCCAAAAGAGCATTCAAGGGCAGAGCACTCGCTTGGCTTGTAGGCACCAAGTCAGGGGCTTGCCATGCATTTCCCCCGTCTTCCCCAAGGCCCCGCTGAAGCCAGGCTTCCGTGATGCCCAAAGCAAGGTCTTTTCCCGTGGGCTGATCCACCGTCGCTCTCCCTCTACCCCAGACACCAGGCCCCAGTCTAGCACAGACAGATCTGTCACTGTCTTCCCTGCTCACAGGATTCTAGTTGGTTTTGCCTTGAGTCATGGCCAAGGAAGAATTAGTCAAAAGAAATCAAGGCTGATTTGGACTTGGAGAAAAGACTTGACCTCTCAATAACTTTGTTTCTTCGTGTGTAAATGGAGATCCCAATACCTGCTTTGATTAGAAGCTAGCAGATACTCAGAGAACCTGGCAAAGAACAGAAGCTCAGCGAAAGCAGGAGGGAGAGGCCTAAAGCAGGAAGGAGGGGCCCCCCTCCCCACGCTGCCTCCCTCCCCGGCCGGCCTGGCAGGTCCCAGGCTCTCGGGCCCCCAGCTCTCTGGGAGAAAGGAGGGCGGGGGTGCCCCTCCGGCGTTGCTGGGAAGTGTGCTGCTTGGCACAGCCAAAAGAAAATGGTTTCTGTGGGCCCCTGGACCTGTGTTTGAAGCCTGGCTCCATCGCATACTACTAGCTGCTAGCTGTGGGACCACAAAGAGGTTTCCGTTTCTCCATCTCCAAACTGGAACAAATAATAACTGTCTTGTAGAATTATTCAGAGGACCCAGTGTGATGTTTGTAAAAAGCAAAAAAAAAAAAAAAAAAAAAGGGCGCCTGGGTGGCTCAGTCGTTAAGCGGCTGTCTGCCTTCGGCTCAGGTCATGATCCCAGGGTCCTGGGATCGAGCCCTACATCGGGCTCCCTGCTCAGCGGGAAGCCTGCTTCTCCCTCTCCCACTCCCCCTGCTTGTGTTCCCTCTCTCACTGTGTCTCTGTCAAATAAATAAGTAAATAAAATCTTAAAAAAAAAAAAGAGTTTGCTCCCTGAACGCTCCCCATCGCCCTTGGGGAAGCCTCCCCCACCCCTGCGTGGCCAAACACACAGAAGACCCACAACCCGAAAGGACAGTGAGGCGTGTCACCCTCCTCCTTCTCCATCTGCTCCCTGTAGGTCTCCCTCCCTCTGGCCCTGTCTCAGCACCCTGCCTGGGCCGTCCCCAGCTACCCTGGAATCTCCGCCGGCCAGTGCCCACCCTGCATCAGGCACCAAGGGCCCAGTGTGGACAGGCTGAAAGCACCCCGAATGTGCCAAGGCAACCCCACGTCCCCAGCGCCACTGTTTATCTGTCCATGCCACCGTGCCTGCCCTTCCCCAGCCGACGACACAGCAGCTCTGCAGCCCTGAGGAGCTCCCTCATTTCCTCCAGAGCCCAAGCGGGTGAAGTGCTTGGGCCAGGAATGCCCATGACTGGGGCCGGGGTGGACTGGGCAGCTCTCGGCTCTTGCTTGGTGTCAAGGCTAAGCCACGTGGACAGAGTTCTCATGGTATAGGGTGACATGGAGGCTCAGGAGCCTCATACAGTCGGTTCAAACCCAAGCATCCCTCTCACAAGTGGCCAAATCAGGCCAATCACACCACTTTCGAAGTCTTCTACTTTGCTTACCTACAAATGGACTAGTAATATATAGCCCATAGAGTGCTGGCAAGGAGTAAGGAGGCGATATAGGAAGCCGAGCCAAACCACTCATCAGAATCCGAAGCTGGAGGGTGAGAAGCAGATGCACCCGGTTCCCACTGCTCCACGGAGGAGCCCAGTGGATGCCTGAGACTTAACCTCTTTACAGCTCAGATTCTTCACCTGTCAAGGGGGCCAACAAGACCCAACTCTCATGGTTGCTGGAGAATTAATAAGTAATGTATAGGAGCGGCCCCCGGCTAGCTCAGTTGGAACAGCATGCAACTCTTGATCTTGGGGTCATGAGTTCGAGCCCCATGTCAGGTGTAGAGATGCCTTAAAAAATAAAATCTTAAACAAAAATAAGTAGTGTATATGAAATACTCAGCAGGATGCCTAGCACCAAGCAGATGGGTACTTCATCTTGTTGCGGTTGAATGAATGAATGAATGAGCCTCCAGGGAACCTCCGCCAGGCAGAGTGCTCAGCCCAAACCAGTATAGATTTCAAGCACCCTTCTTAAAAGTCATTTCAAATATCAGCCTCCACACATCCATAAGCCCACAGCCCCCTCTCCAAGTGGGCACCTGCACATCGCCTCCTGAGATCCCGGGGGGCTCAGGAAAGATATCTTGATTCTTTTCCCTCTTCCTGCCTCAGCCACTCACTGCAGGGGCAGAAAAATGGGTCCGTGATCAAGATGGGTAGTTCGCACAAGAAAGAGGATTCCACAAATGCCGTTCACCTAGAAGGCCACCAACCAGGTAGTGTTGACAGGAAGATAGCCTTGTACCCAGAAGGCCGGCTTGCAAATAATCAGCAAATCCACTTCGGCCTCATCCTCTCCTCCCTGGGATGTGCCTCCCCGCCAAGGCTCCACAGTAGATACACCTTGAGAGAAGGTCTGGGGGCTTCCAGAGCAGCTCAAGCATCTAGCTCCCCAGCTTGAGCAGCAAGTGGAGAAACAAGGTGCCCGCAGCGCTGCAGTGGTGGGGGAGGGGGGCCCACGGGCCGGACCTGGACACATCGGCCTCACCTTTTTGCACTGGCTCAGGTCTGCCGCCTCGCCCATTACCTCCCCTTCCCCCACCCCAGGCTTAGGGTGGGTGGCCACCTGCGCCTGGAGTAAACCTAATCACCACCATCTCCCCCAAGACAAGCTCACTCATCGGAAACCCCAATTCAGCAGCTCCTACTCAAGCAGCATTCATTCTGCAAGTGAACAAAGTGTTCCGTTCTTTTTCTCTGCAAAGGCCGTGTTTCCTCTCCCATTATCTACCCCATCGGCAGCCAAGCCTGCCACAAAAGCAAGATTTCTTCTTTCTTTTTGTTATTTTCGTGGTCCCCTTTATTTACGGGTGGTTGTTCTTTCTTGGCTTTGGCTCCTTTTCAAAAAGGCAGGGAAGCAAGGGGAGGAGAGGGGTATGATAGTGAGTCTCTGATTTCATCCAAAATGCTCATCAAGTGGTCCCCACACGGTAGCCTGCACCCCAGTCTGCCCGGGACCCCACCTGGCAGCACCAGCACCCTTTGGAAATGGAAGCCGGACCACCTCAACCAAAGAGTCGTATCTGGCAAAGGGATGGGAGGAGGTAGGATTCTGGTAAGGATCCTGATGTCTGGAGCTCACAGTGCTAACAATAAAATAATAAGGGGGATATTCAAAATACCTGACAAGTGATGGGCATTGACCCATTAGATGGGACTCCTGGGACAATCAGATGAGTTGGCAGATGCCAGCCACCACCAACTGGCTGACATGCTGGTACAGATCTGCTAAAGACCCCCTCTGATCACAGCTAACATTTACTGAGCCTCTGCTATGTGCCAAGCACTGCTGGATGCTGGAGACACCCTCACTTACATTAATTTAGTTAGTCTTCACAGTAACCATC